AGAAAGAAAGACAACACAATATTAACATGGGTCGACATAGGCCTATGTCCACGGGAGTGAAACGGCTACGATTTTGTTATATGTGAATAATAGGGTTACATCATATAAAATAACCCTAGCCCGTACAAGATTTTAGGGAAAAACCCAAAAATACCCCTGTATTATTCAAGTGTATATATACTCCACTCTATATGAGCCCGCATATTACAACAATCAGTTCCTGCAGTTTACAAGGAAATCTTGATCAAAATTACCAGGTTAATGAAGAAGAAGAAAATGTACTCAGGTGTGTCGTTGGAACCCTCGACTTGAGCCTCAGATACTTGTCACATGGACAGACATTTCCAGGGGTACGACATGAGTGCATATTAACGTAGAATCTGAATTCAGTTAATGATTCTCAAACACCCAGTTTGACAGGAACAAGTAAAAGCGCCTTTTTTCTGCCTGATTGATCGAAAAGGCTTGAGCAGATATGGCTACATTGCGAACTTGTGCGTAGCAAAATCAGCACGTCGACAGGGTATTGCAAGCAGGATGATGCAATTTGCTATCATGTCTGCAAAAAAACAAGGTAAAATTAGGCTCCTTTAATTTTTAAGAATTACCCAAATGCAGGTGAAGATCTGATATTTTGGAGCAGGTGCAGAGCAAGTGTTCGTTCATGTGCATAGACATAACACCCCTGCTCAACGACTGTATCAAAAGATGGGTTTTGAGGTAATATCTCTTTGTATGACCGCTCCACTCTGTTGCTTAGCTAATGGTATCAAACTGTATCGATCACCCGACTGTTGCGTCAGCTAGTGGTGTCAGAAGTGAGTAGACCACATATATAAATAGAAGAATCATGCTACATGTACAGGGTTTGCCAAACATTTTGACGAGGGACCGGTGGCAGCACTGCATTGGTCTGTTTAAATTTGTTTTTTATCCAATAAAGTGCTGCCATTTGGCACTCTGGCAGGGGCTTAACTCATAAATAGAAGTTGAGAGATAAATGGGAAATTTTATCCACCGTGAAATTTCAACCGAGTCACTAAACTTAAATTTGTCTCGTTGAAATTCTATTTGATTTTAAATTTCATCATTTTGTCACGTTCCATCACCATTTGATTTTAAATTTTCATCGCTTTGTCACGTTCCATCTCCTATTGACCCACTAACTAAAAATTACATGGTATGAATACAATAACCGATCTTCCATATGCGGTGCTTTAAAAACAAAAATAGTAAAATGAGAGTTGTGAAAAAAAAAAATTATATTAAACTTTTAGAAATATGCTTTTTATTTACACTTTTATAATGTATGCATTGATAAACTGACATGCAACTGAATGATTAGACGGTAGATCCGTTATTTATAATTGTCAATCAGGCATTTTAAATTTGGAAGATGGTAGTAGATAAATTTGAAACTGAATTCAAGTTCAGTAATGTAATTGTAACAAATTAAAGTTTAGACAATTGAGATTTTGATGAAACTTCAGTACCATAGATGAATTGCGACATGCCTGAAGTGGCGGGCTACTGGTAATCCCAGGCCCACCTCTCAGCAACTGGTGTGGTCGATCCAGTTGACGCCACTAGATTTGGCCAGTAATCTTCTATCCATTTTTAGAAATAAGTAAAAATGCTGGTTCTGCTCTATATTCTCTGCAAGGTAATCGAGGCTGCAAACTCTCAACTATCTGAAGGCGAAACTTATTTGCTTCATCGTGAAATTTCAACTACTAAATTGTAGAGAATCCTTTTTCGTTTAACTCTACAATGGATACTTCCAACAATATCTTTCCAAAAATATCGGTGACATATTTGGTATGTTACCTTGGAGAATGTGGATAGGATTAATGAAAAGGAAGGTCAAATCCTTTTTCTTGTTTCAAATGTAATAACTGTGTAATGCTGCACGCACACTAGATATTCATGTCATGTAATAACGATGATCGTCTTGTATTGGACATCTCAAATTTGCATTGTAACTTCATGGATCATTTTTTTTTTTTTTAACTATATAATTTTCTTTACTTAAATCATCACTCACGTGGAGTGCTTATTTATACCATATAAAATACAAAATATTGTAAAATTAAGAGAGAGGGAAAAAAAATTGATAAACGACAAAAGAGACTTGGAAAGTAGTCACGATTCATGAGTATATTATTGACAACCAAGGCTTCTTATTCATAGGTATAATTAGAAATGCAAGGATATGATTATCCTTTACAAATAATATTTAATTTACAACACTCCGTTGGAATGATTAATAACACATCTATTTCATTAATAACATTATTTAACTAACACCGAATCACACAATTACCAAATAAAGGGAAGAATAATATAATTAAAATTGGAGTAATAAAATGCCTCATTAAAACTTGTTCAGTAAACTCATTTGAAAAACATATGAGCGAAGAAAAAAGAGTATAGATACTCCACAATTTAAACAAAATGGAAGTTTTTGTATGGAGTCATACGTATCTCATTCGTCAATATCTTCCATGTTATTATCTTCATATAATATATTCATCTATTTCCTGTTTAATTATAGTCGTCATTTTCACTAATTTGAAAAACATATCTTGTTGCTCTCTTTAGGGATTTTGTATATAATTTATAATGTACAAGAGTAAAACTAGGGAGTTTTGTTAAAGATAAACGTCTTATAGGTTATGTTCATAAATGACTATAACATTTTTAGCATTCACTCTTGAATGTTCATTACACAAAGAATATAACTCATTAAGATCTTATCAGTAAAAACCCGATAGGAAAAATCCTGGTGAAAAAAACGAAAAGAACTATATTATTCTTTTGAATATGTTACAAAAGTTTTCTAAGTAAAAAATCATGCTAGAAAAACTAGTGGGACAACTACTTGGTCAAAGAAAAAATAGTACAACACATTTATTTCCCTTATGATTATATCACATGAGATCTCAATAATTTATCTATTAACTTATCAAATTTTACAGTAGACACTGCCTTCGTGAACGTATCGCATAAATTGCCATGATAGCCAAATTAAATAAATAATCTGGTTGATGAGCTTTATATAGATGAAATAATACATTACATAGTCATGCTAAACAAGTTCTGAATCATGAGTTATTAGAAAGATAAAATAATTCATCATTAGCACTAACTTATGGTACTTTAGGATTTACAAAATTTTTCATCATCACCTCAATGTCAAAATCCTTTCACTTCAAGCGAACAAATAACCACAGGTATCAGACAACGTGACATTTTTTTTAAAGACTTTTTCTATGTAAGTGGAATGATGAACTAGAATTTAATGGGCTAAATTCTTGATGAGCAGGTCCAGAGAAAGTTTATTTTTCAAGATCTTTCATTTCGAATTCTTTCTGTAATCAACTGCTTTGAAAGCTTTGTGAATTCCAATAATGTTTGAATCATCAACAACAATAGCGACAAATCCAAATATTGATTTATGTTTAGAAATATACTGTCATTCTTATACCATCTTTTTAACAAATATTAATAAGACGATCATACTACATTAGTTTAGATACCAAATTATCTAATGTACTTTGTGCTCGGACGATTCTCGCAAGCTACAGAATCATTGACAATTATTATATTTGATGAGTTAAAAACATCATCAATTAGATTCAAAAATGTTGTAAAGAAAAAGATGTATTTTAATTATTCTAAATTATCTACTAATTACCTAAAATGACTTTAAAATAAAAGATGGGATGTATGTGTTGAAATTCTGAGTTCACCTATTATTACTTTATTTTTAATTCTCAATTACGTAATTTAGTTTCATTCATACAATTTTTTACAATTGATATTCTATTGTGTTCAACTTTCTTTTCCAAGATAAGTTAATTATATTCTAGTTAAGATCC